CCCGCCCCCCCTCCCCCCCCCACGCAGGGGTTGGGCCCTGTCCTCTTCTGCAGACACAAATGCTGGAGGAGCAGGCAGCCAGTGAGTTCCCCACCTTGGGGGGCGGGGGGGAGGGGGGTCAGGTTTCAGCCCTGGAGTGGTGGCCAGCAGCGGGGCTCCAGACTGCAGTGACAGGCTCCTTACCCCAGCTGCAGTGCTTCAGGCTCTGTCTCCGGGCCCCATCCCCTAGGCGCGGGGCTTCAGGCTCCATCCCCCAGCCATGTGATGACAGACTCCAGCCCCAGGCTCAGCACCCCTCCCTCATCACCCTCGTGTCCCACTGCCTTCCCTGGCTCAGGGCTTCAGCCACGCTGGGGCAGGCTTCAGCCCTGGGCTTATCCCCTACGACCCCTGGCCTTCGCTGCCTCCTCCAGCCCTAGGCTTCAGCCACAGAGCAGTTGTCGGACACTGGCCCCTGCTGCCTTCCTATCCACCTCCCCATTCAGGGCTTAATTTGTCCCCAGGCTTACCAGGGTTGAATATGAATAATCTGCAGTGAAAGTGCTATTTGTATGTTTGTTAATATCACTTTTCACAGCAAAATTAGCTGCTAGCTGGGAGGCTGTGATATTAACATACAAGTATCACTTTTCATAGCAGCAGACTTACTAGACTTAAGTCTAAAATCAACAAAGCAAAAGGGACAACAGAAAAGACAAGAATGTGCAAAGCACCTTATTTGTATTTCTATTCTGTTTTAGACCCAGTAAAGAATAGAGACAACTGTACATTATTTTTATTATTGAGTCTGCAAAAAAAAGCCAACCCTACATAAGTGAATTACATACACATGTCCAAATCAGTGTACATATTTGTTTTTCCTAAAGTTAATTAAGTATTTTAGGAAAAATTGACAAGAATGGCCGCCACCACCAAGAGTTGGTGGCTGCACTCTGAGGCCACCAAAAAAATCGTTATGAGAATCCCTGAACTAGATGACCCTTGCTGTCCCTTTTAACCATTATGGTTCTATGATTCTGTGCCCCAGGGTACATTTGCTTATGTTGGAACTCAGTTTTCTGCAAAAAGAACAGGAGTACTTGTGGCACCTTAGAGACTAACAAATTTATTTGAGCATAAACTTTTGTGGGCTACAGCCCACTTCTTCGGATGCATAGAATGGAACATACAGTACGAAGATATATATAACATCTTAAGAGTTTGTATGGCAACTTCCACCTTTTCATGTTCTCTGTATGTATATATATCTTCATACTATATGTTCCATTCTATGCATCCGATGAATTGGGATGTAGCCCACAAAAGCTTATGCTCAAATAAATTTGTTAGTCTCTAAGGTGCCACAAGTACTCCTGTTCTTTTTGCGGATACAGACTAACATGGCTGCTACTCTGAAACCAGTTTTCTGCAAGTGTGTTGTGCTGATCGAAAATGTTTTTGAGAGAGAGAGAGAGAGCGAGCGCACTGGACAAAAAAAAAAATTGTGGCGGAGAGAAATCATTATGGAGTTACAAAATGTGTTGCTATATGTTGGTGTAAAGTTAACTGGTACATTTTACCTAAATTTACTAATAAACGTATGTATAGCTTTTAAAAAAGTGTACTATATGTTAGAGCCATATCAGACTGAAAATAGACCTCTTGATAAGGAAATGTTTGGGTTTTTTTTTCTTTCATTTTCCTAGAAATATGTTTTCAACTTTATATGTATTTATGCAAAGTGAAATTTGGCTGGGAGGTGTAAGTTCATCAGATGGCAGTAAGTAAAAGGAGTATGTGGCATGAGTGTGTATTTAGTTTCTTTCATTTCTCCAGAGCCTAGTAGATTGGTGTTTCTGCAATATAAATAATGAGGAAAGTGGCTTCATCCCTTAACTGTTCATTCCCAGACTATCATATTTGAGGATTTTTGAAGCAGAAGCATTATAATACAGGTGCAGTGGGACAGGATAGGCTCTATTGCTAAATGCTTTCAAAATCAACTCATTCCTGCTGTTGTTTGTGAATTTCCCTGCTTTTTTTCTCCTTTAAGTGCCAAATGTTGAAAGAGGGTTGATGTTTATATGGTTTGCAATAGAGAGAGCCCTACTGAGACAGATTTTATGAGGACCAATGAAGCAGAGCTGCTTTCCTCTGGATGTTAGCGAGTCCAGGGTGTGGAAGAGTTCCCTGTGGGCGGGATCAGAATGGGCGCAGTGGAGAAGGAAAGGCTTTTATCTGTGTGATCATATAATGAATGTTTGCATGCCACCCATTTATTTGATCTACTGTAATCATATCAAAAGAAATGTGTCTCTTTTGATCCTCCAATAGCCTTCCCCTAACCCTAAAATACTAAAAGGCATTTCACCGCAGGAGAACAAAAAGAAAAACATTGAAGTTCCTTGACCAGGCCACTTTGAAGAGATTATGAGCTAAAAAAGTATTAGAAAGTTTTTCAAAAATTAAACTTCAGCTACGTTTTTCAGAGCACCACAACTTTAAAACTGTTCTACTTGGGTCAGTATACTGCAAACATCACATTTATCAGAGTATTTCTCTTAATTTTTTTCACCAAACTTCCCCCCAAAAAGCCATGTACCCAGGGTGAGATGCCACGTGTGGAACTGCAGCACAATTGATGTCTTTTTGGAGAAGTTGGGGGTGGAGGATCTTAAAAATGAGCTGATCTTGGAGAGCTAGTGAGTGCTGCAGCTTCACAACTGCTCTCCCTGTGAAAACATGTCCTTCGCAATGCTCCCTCAGGATTGGCCTGCTTTTACCTTTTTCCACAGAGTTTGTCAAG